TCTTTTTGAGACAGGATCTCCCTGTAGCCCCAGCTGTCCTGGAACTCACTATGTAGACCAGGCTGGCCTTGAACTCACAGAGATCCGCCTGCCTCTGCCTCCCGAGTGCTGGGATTAAAGGCGTGCACCACCACGCCAGGCTCACATTAGGATTTTTTTAGCAGGTTTGTAATAAAATATTAGGGAGAAATACTTTAAATTTTTTTAATTTAATGCAAAAAGGTAAGGCTGATATAGAAATCTAACACTGAACAACAAAGACCAAACAAACTTGTTTTAAAATGTGCAAAGAGCCAGGCATGGTGGAGCACACCTTTAGTCTCAGTACTCAGGAAGCAGACATAGGTGGATCTCTATGAGTTTGAAGCCAGCCTGGTCTGCACAGTAAAGCCCTGTCTAGAAAAAAAAGAAGTACAAAGAATTGAAGTAGATATTTCTCCAAAGAAGATATACAAATGTACAGTAAAAACAAGAAGGGGCTGGAGAGATGGCTCAACAGTTAAGAACACTGGCTGTTCTTGCAGAAGACCCGGGTTTGAATCCCAGCACTCCTGTGGCAGCTAACAACTGTCCATAACTCCAGTTCCAGGGGATCTGACGGCCTCTTCTGTCCTCCATGGGCATTGCACAACATGGAAGCACTTACCTACATGCAGGCAATACACACATAAACAAATAAGCCAGGCATGGTGGTACATGCCTTTAATCCCAGCACTCAGGAGGCAGAGGCAGACAGATCTCTGTGAGTTCAAGGCCAGCCTGGTCTCCATTAGCGAATCCAGGTCAGCTGTGGCTACACAGAGACCTTGTCTCAAAAAAACCAAAAATAATAATAATAATAATAATAACTAAAATTTTTTAAAAAAGAAAAGATACTCATCATCACTAATTATCAGCAAAATGTAACTACCAACAGGACAAGGGTGAGCTGAGTAGTAAAGCTTCACATAGTTGTTGTGAGACCTTGGGCTTGATACCCACTACAAAAAAAAATTTTTTAAACCCAGATGTGAGCTGGGTGTGGTGGTACACACCTTTAATCCCAGCAGAGGCAGAGGCAGGTGGATCTCTGAGAGATCAAGGCCAGGGTGGGCTACACATCAAGTTCCAGGCCAGCTGTGACTACAAGACAGATGTGGTGGCCTACATGTGTAATCCCAGCACTACTAAATAAAGATGGAAGATGGAGATGGGGATGGGAGAATCAGCAAGAAGTTCCCAAGCCATCTAGCCTGGAGTAGCAATGCAGCATCAGAAACAAGAGAGACCCTGCCTCAACAAGGTGGGAAGAGAGAACCAACTCCTCAAAGTTGTCCTCTGACCTCCACAAGCACACCATGGCATATGTGCACACATGTATACAAACACACACAATAAATTAAATAACTTTTTTATTTGAATCACCCCATATCTAACAATTCCACTTCTGGATATATACCCAGGAGAATTAAAAGGCAGAGCTGAAAGACAGCTGAACACCCATGTTCACAGCTGAACAGCCATGTTCACAGCGCATTAATCACACAGACACTACCCAAGTTATCCAAGCATTCTCTGACGGATGAATGGGTAAGCAAAATGGAGCATAACCATGTTATGGAATATTGCTCAGTCTTAAAAAGGAAGGAAATTCTCCAATATTATACCACATAAGTGAACTTTAGAACATTCTAGGCTAACAAGTCAGTCACAAAAAGACAAAGGGTATACTTATACATAGAATAGTCAAAATCATAAAAAAAAGTTGAGCATGGTAGCACACACCTTTAATTCCAGCACTTGGGAGGCAGAGGCAGGCAGATCTTTGTGAGTTCCAGACCAGCCTGGTCCACATAGCAAGTTCCAAGCCAGTACATTCCTACACACAAAATAAAAAGAATAAATAAGTAAAAAAAAAAGTCAAAAGAGGGGTTGGAGAGATAGCTCAGCAGTTAAGAGCACTAGCTGCTCTTGGAGAGGACCTAGGTTCAGTTCCCAACACCCACATGGCAGCTAACAGCCATCTGTAATTCCAGTTCTGGGTGATGTGACACCCTCTTCTGGCCTCTGTGGGCATTGCATGACATAGGTGCACTTACATACATGCAGACAAAACACACACATAAAATGAAAATAGATAAGTTTTTAAATTTAATCATAAAATCAGCAATAGAATGATAGTCATCAAGGGCTAAGGGGCAGGAAAAATGAAGAACTATTGTTTAAAGTGTGGAAATTTTCAGTTTTATAACATGAAAAGACAGTTGTACACATTATGAGTACATTAATATCACTAAATTGTATACTTAAAATGATTAATGGAGTAAATTTGGGGGGGCTTTTTGAGACAGGGTCTTCCTGTAATCCCAGGTGGCCTGGAACTCACTATGTAGACCAGGCTAGCCTTGAACTCACAGAGCTCCACCTGCCTCTACCTCCGGAGTGCTGGGATTAAAGGCATGCACTACCACGCCTGGTTTATGTTATATGTGTTACCACATAAGCCTGATGATCCAAGCACCATCCCTGGAACCCACGGATGCAGTGGCCCACATCTGTGATTCCAGCACTCCCAGGGAGATGGAAGATGGAGACAGGAGAGTCAGCATAGAGCACACAGGTCAGCTTGGTTGGTTGGTGTACACCGTACAGCAGAAACAAGGACCTGCCTCAAGGAAAGAACCATGCTCCGAAAGCTGTCCTCTGACCTCCACACCTACGCCTTGGTTACATGCATGTGTGAGCATGCACACAAAAATATGTAAATAAATAATCAAAAATCTGAGAAAAGTTATGGCTCAATAAATTGAAGCCATTCATAATCCATCACCAAATATAATTTTGGCATTTGATGTATAATATCCTAAATTTTCATTCGTATATAATAATAATAATATTTATATGTAAGTTTATGTTTTTATTTTGAAACAGGATCTCATGTAACCCAGGCTGGCCTAGAACTCAATATATAGGTGAAAATGACCTTGAACTTCTGATCAGCCTGCCTCTTCCTCCCAAGTGCTGGGGTTACAGGCATGTGCTACCACATCTAGTTTATGTGTCCTTTGAAAGAAAAATATGATAGTCTATATATCATTCATTAACAATAGAGCTTAGACATCTTTACATATGTCTCCCCCACTTTCCTTTAAGAACTAGTATTGAACAACACAAATGAACATCTCCTAAGGAAAGCACAGCCTCAAAGACCACCCCAATGCTGTGGACTTGGACTACAGAGAACTCACCCGAAACTCCATGACATCCACAAATGACTGGTAGTAATTGATGAGGAATCTAACTATCTCAGCTTTCTCACGATGAACTTGTCCTAAATGTTGCTGAGAGAAACACAAACAAAACAAAATATGTAAAATTAAAAAGTGTTTGATCAAAGTGAAAAAATAGAGGTGATGCCCAAACATTCATAAAAGGATGAGATCTGCTGCAGAAGCTCGGAAACTTCCCAGGGTTCTCCAGTCCCTAAATAGACTCTTGAGGTAGGATGCATGTATGTGATTTGGACCAGATTCAGAGGGATGAATGAAAGGGAATTTCACATTTCCTTTCAGCTGCAGAGGTTTACGCTCTACATTAAGTCCAAAGAAGCAGGGTAAAAAGATGTTGTGGATAGATGGGTGAGAAATCTAGGTTTAGCACACAGGGAGAAGTGTAGGATATGCCACTAGATGCAGAGCCCTGAGATCAGCAGCAAAGAAACACTGTTGGAAACAAGGAGGCAGCAAACAGTGCTCTCTGCCCAGGAATAGCTCGGCCCACCTCTACAAGCCCCTGTGGTCATCTCTGTGAGACGGAGGCCCACCTGGTCTACTAGCAAGTTTCAGGCCAGCTGTAGCTACAGAGAGACCTTGTCTTAAAAAGACCAAGAAAGAAAGAGGGATGGAAGGAGAGAGAGGGAGAGAGGGAGAGAGGGAGAGGGGGAGAGAGAGAGAGAGAGAGAGAGAGAGAGAGAGAGAGAGAGAGAGAGAGAACCACCCGGGGGGCTC